CCCGGCCCGCATCGGCTGCGACGAGGGGTTCCACTACCTGCACTCCTCCGACCCGGACCGCAACGTGCTCGTCGGCGCCGTCGTCGGCGGCCCCGACCAGAGCGACAGCTACTCCGACAGCCGCGACAACTATGCGCAGGCTGAGCCGTCCACCTACACCAACGCGCCGCTCGTCGGCGCCCTCGCCTTCTTCGCGGGGGCACGCTAGCTAGGCATATAGCCCAAGTGGCGTAAACGAAATGTGTGTGTGTGCGCGATGGTAGAACTTGAACTGTGAATGTACTCAGTCTGAGATTTTAGTCTAAGTCTCAGTCTGTAGAACTTAATACCTATCTATACTACTATTAAAAGAGCAAGCAGGTGTTTGTCTAAAGTCACACAACAAACTGTACACAGGATAAGCAGAACCATCCGATCAAATTGACTTAAACACATCCTACCGCCTATATTACATCAATAGTCTGTCAGCCAGATCAACATCTTAGATTAAATGTTCTGGCTAGCAGACGCCGCGTCTGCCGATCGTGCGAGCGCTCCGCGGCCGCCGATCCCGCGGCCCAGCGGCAACTCCCTGATTTTCGTTTTTTTAGGAATCCCTGATTTTCAGTTTGGTCCACGCGAAAGTGGCTCCCGAGTCCCGGCACTGGCTTTAGGCCCCAACAAGAACGGCGAAAGAAGGGATCCGCAGCAACAACGTTGCGCCGCCGCTCCGCCCGTGCGCTCCCCACCCCCGATCCGCCCCGAGCCAACCAGGCCTCCGAACGCCGCCGTCGAGCTCCTCTGCCGGTCAGCCATGCCCAGAGCCCTCCTCCCTTCTCTCTCCCTCTCCTCACTAATCTTTCTCCCTCTCTCCGTTCCCACACTGCAGGACACCATGGCCATGGACTAAAGCTCCGCTGGACCTTCCCTCGCGAGTGCCGGCCCTCCTCCCGACTAAATCGGCGACGGCGACGACCGGTGATGAACACATGCCTACCCCCTTCTTAATTCTCCCGGGCAGTCTGTGATGCAGATGCCGCCGCTGCCATTCTTCCGCACAGCCGAGGACGCGAAAGTCGTTGTTGTCTGCAACTCAGCCGCCTCCAATCCTGTTGCCCTGCGAAGTTGAGGAGGGTTTGTTGTCCGGACATCGCATCCTCCTGCTTGTCCTCTACCACAGGGTCGTTGCCATCTTCAGTCACCACGGGCACCTCTGCCTTGTCCTCTACCACGGGTTCAGTAGGGGCATACCACCGCATGTCCTCTTCACATGATAGGTACAGACTTGGCTAAGCAATTTTATGTCAAACTGCACATAAATATGATTAAGTCCTTGTTGTATTTTTACTGGTAGGGAGAGCAGGGGAAAAGTCTTGTGGATACATATATGAATGCCCGCCAGAAGAAGAGAAAGGTGTTTGGCTGCAAATCAGTTTTATGTCAAACTGCACATAAATATGATCAAGTACTTGTTGTCTTTTTACTGGCAGGGAGAGCAGGAGAAGGTGTTGTGGATACATATATGAATGCCCGCCAGAAGAAGAGAAAGGTGTTTGGCTGCAAGTAATTGTGTTCGTAGGCTGTCCATATCACCGGCACTAAGGGGAAATGTTCGACTGCCACGTTCCTGTCTAATATCATGAGGGAGCAAGCATAAACTGTGGGCTGCTATTCCAGGTATTCCACCATATCACCAAGCTCCGTGTATCATTTAATCCATTTGGTAGTAACTATTAGACGACATGATCATGGAAATTGTATGGTGCTGATGTTTATGCAGTCAACACCTTTTAACAATCCGAGAGCGCATCATCTGTTTCAGCTGCATCTTTGAGGGATCTTTTTGATCTGGCAAAAGGAAGCTATTGATGAATCAATCGAATATTTTCAAAGATATTTTTAGGTTGCAAGGTTGGTATTTTGCTTTAATAAAATGCTGATGATGCGTACTCAGATATTTTTTTGTATGTCCCCGAATGGGAGCCTATACAATACCAATAAACGATAAGCATAACAAGAAAAATAGAAAGGTACTATCGAATGGGAGCCTAATTTCTTGTTTCAGTATTGTCTGCAGCTTTGTTTCAGGAAGATTCAATTCTGTAATTTTTTTATGTCGCATTTGAAGGTGTCGGCAAGTAAGCGGCTCTACATCTTGCCAATTCCATTTCTAATAGGCATGAACCCCCTGTGTTCTGGACAACTAAGGTTACATGCATGTGTTCATATCATAATCATGTACCAATTCTGAGTCAGACGCGTGCATTTGGATTGGATATTGAACCGAGCCCGCCATTTTATTACTCTGAAAGAACTATACAGTGATATTTGGCTATTGCTTTCGGTATTAGAGAAGCATAGAAACTGAACTGCAGGGCTTTCTATATTTTTATGTGAAATTCCTCTATGACATTGTGCCATACTATTTACTTTGAGCAACCTTTCTATGCTATTTTCTTGGACAGTTTATACTGTAATCTCTAGCACCTCAATATATGGTAAACAAGTGCAAGCTTGGGTATTTTTTCCTCATCTTGTATTCATTTTATTTGCTATGTTACTTTAGCAATCAAATAGAATCAGGCACAAGCTCCAGTTAGTCCTGTGTAAAAACTGATGTGCAGGTGTGGACCATGGATTCCTTATTTTGTGCGTTTCAGACTTGGGATCGTAGGGAGAAGTGTGGACTATGGAGTCACACCAGAACTCGATTGACCATGGCACATCTTCATAAACGAGTCATGGCATCGGCAACAATATTCAAGATTTCATGTTCCCTTCATTTCCAAGCATCACTCTTAAAGCAATATATGCAGGTTCATCATTCATGCGAGGGATATGAATGGCGAAACAAAAGTAAAAGGTGTTTATGCCAACAGATCATCATAATTTGGGAGGAGTGTCATGTCGGCTTTATAAAGCCAGTAGCATCCTACTATTCGCAGTTTCTGTACTTCAATGAAATAATACAATTTTCAAATTATATATTTTACGGCCGTATATACTTTTTTTAAAGTTACGAGGTTCCATGAGGTTCCATGAGATTAGATGACGACTCTGATGTGTCATTTTGACAAAAGGCCCACTACGGTCAGTTCTTATAGTTCAATTAGATAATGCAATTTTCAGATGATATGTGATATGTTTTAATTTATTTATTTCATGTGTTCTTTGTCACCGGCATTTGTGCATGGATTGGTTACATGTCTACAAAGCTAACCAAATAAGAACGTGATGAATTCAATGTATGCAAAACTAACCAAATATGAATGAGGTGAATTTCCTGACCACATTTTGTGCCGGACCTTACTATGAAACAAACTATCTATGCCAAAATCACCACTCCTACATTTTCTATTTTCACTGGTTTACTGACTTCATTCTTCACAAGGCGTGGAAGATCTCTATGAATAAGCCACAACTAGCAGTAACTATGTTTTTTTTTTTGCCAGAGAACTATGTTTGGTTCTAGGCTGCCCTGCTCCATGTTAGTCCACAATTCTTTTGGAGTTTCAGGTTGATAACAAATGTAATTCTTCACCATATTTGTTAGCATTACTATATCATGCTGGAATCCCTTCTCTCCATTCCCCGGAAGTACTTAACTTCCTTTTCGCAGAATCCACATCCTACATAATACATGCAAAAAATATGTTTATACATGAGATTTTTTTCTCACGGTTATACGTGCGTGCACGTGCACGCTTACTAGTAAACATATAAGAAGTACAATTTGGTACATTGGCTGAAAGAGGCATACAACTAGTGGACACACTCGAGTTTACATCAACTGTTATAGCTAAATGTGCATGTGTTACAATGGAGACAGGTTTATTCTAGTGGTTCAATGTAGGAAAATATTAAGTGTGTGTTGAGATTGAGATATGCTATGAAGAAGGAATCCGCAGAGCAAATTTAAGGAAAGATATGATGTGATTGAGATTATGTACGTACAACTACATGAGATTTTGTTATTTGCTTCCAAGGGAATTTTTGCTATTAGCAATTTATTTGGTTTTTGTTGATTGCTTTGCAGGGTATTTCTTTCACCATAAACAACGAGGTGGGGGGTGGTTTAGAAAAATGAGGGTTATCACATGGTTTGAAAAAAAAAACGATGAGAAGGGCATATATTGATGGGAAAGGTGGAAGCGATGAAATTGAAACCAACAAACTCCATTTTAACGATAGAAGATTACAAATATGTAAATAGTTTTAAGGGCAGCGCTACCCATCGGCGATAAATAATTAAAAAAGATCCGCCGTCTCGCTGACCATTGGATGAACACGCTAATGGTCGTTCGATGTGCCCATGTGATCAGCCATCTCTTCGCAACAAGGGTCATGTTGCGGTATTTTCTGCAACAGATTTCTTGTTGCACAAAATTTCAGCAACAGAGGTCTTGTTGCAGAAATTTTCCGTGACATAGCTCTTGTTACAGAAATTTCTCACAACAAGGACATGTTGCAGAAAAAAAAAATCAAGGATACTTTTTGGGAGGCTGAAAGAGGGTTGTTTTGCAATAAGAAGCTTGTTGCAACTGCAACGTGCGCTTTGTTGCAAAACCAAAACCGCCCTCCGAGGCGCGTCAGTCTGCTTCTCAGGCCATGTGGCGCGCAACCAAGGCAGCGGACATGGGCGTGATAATCTGCCGGCTGATTCTAATCGTTTTCCTAATTTATTTAAAAGGTATATAATTGGCCAATTTTGATCAGGTAAATATCCCATACTCGAATTTCCCAGAGTAGTCATGAGCGTGCCCAGTAAGAGTTCGATCGAAACTCGACGCAAAGAAAAAACGAGAGAGTCGGATCAAAACACGAAGACATCGCATGTACGTACCTGATTGTGATCGAGTACGTGTCTGTCTCTGCTACGTACGTTCGTCCCGTCTCCGGCCCTTTTATATAAGGTGCACGTACGATTGCCCTGAACCAAACCGATCGATCCAGGCTTTTGCGAGCGCACAAAGATCGACTCACGCGATTCTACGAGAGAAGAGATCGAGCAAGCAGGAACCATGGCTGCGACGCCGGCGGACGCAAGCAGCAGCAGCAGCAGCAGCAGCGAGGCCGTGGTGGGCGGCGAGAAGAGCAACAAGATGATCACGCTGATCAGCTCCGACGGCGAGAGCTTCGAAGCCACGGAGGAGGCGGCGAAGATGTCGGTGACCATCAAGCACATGATCGAGGACGGCTGCGCCGACGACGGGATCCCCCTCCCCAACGTCCCCGCCAAGATCCTCTCCATGGTCATCGAGTACTGCAACAAGCACGCCGCCGACGCCGCCGCCGACGACACCAACAAGCACGTCGCCGACCCCGCCGACGCCGACGAGGACGACGACAATAACAACAACAATGCCAGCGCCGGCGAGAAGGAGGACCTGAAGAGCTTCGACGCCAGCTTGGTCGCCGTCGACCAGGCCATGCTGTTCGACATCATCCTCGCCGCCAACTTTCTGAGCATCAAGGGGCTCCTGGACCTCGCCTGCCAGAAGGTGGCCGACGACATCAAGGACAAGTCGGTTGAGGAGGTGCGCGAGATTTTCAAGATCGAAAACGACTTCACAAAGGAGGAGGAGGAGGCCGTCAGAAAGGAAAATGCCTGGGCCTTCAACGAGTAGAAACGTTTACGAGTTTTAGCTAGTGTACTCACTTGGGGTTTCATCTTTGCAGCTGCTTAATTAATTTGTTAATTCGTCGCCTTTCTTGTTTACGAGTTTTAGTTAGTGTGCTTGGTTTTTGATTGGTGGAAACTTTGTGTATCAGATATATATTTCGTCAAAAATACTATGTTTGAAATATTGAAATCTGAGTCTGAGTTTTGTATTATTTTTTTAGTTTGTTTGTTTGAGTTGGATAGCAATTTTAAACATAAGTCTGAGTTTCCAATTGCTGCTTCAAGTGTGACGCCCGGGTATTTAGCTACAGTAATTCCCTGCTAATGATGCCACGTCACTTCGATTACTTTCGCTAATCTCGTGTTAGTTCGGAACCATTCAAATTCATATTCAAAATCAAGCAAACAATAAACGTTTTCAAAAATCAAAACTAAAATGTTATAAATGTGACAAATAATTCATAAGTAATGTTGGTGGAGAAACCACATTTTTATAAAAGGTCTAACTGCATTTAATTAATTAAAACAGTAGGTAAGACAAATACATAAATGTCTTGGTATTTTATAAAATACTAAACTATATTATTTGGGGGTTAAACCTTTTGTGGCAGAGGTATAATTAGTGTTACTATTTAAGGTACAACTTTTATGTTTTATAAAACTAGAATAAAATAAAACAGTAAAAGAAAAAGGACACAACAGAAAAAAAGGCAAGAAATTAAAATCCCCCCCCCCTCGCTGGGCCTCGGCCCAGCTGGCCACTGGGCAAGCCAGGACGGCCCAGGCCGCCCCCCCGCTCCCCCCATAACTCCCTGGGTGACCAAACCCTAACCTACCCCACTCCCCACTCGCTCCCCCCACCCCACCCCCTCGCTCT